TATCTTATCGACATTTGCCTTGAAACATCCTCAGTATTTTTTTTTTTTTCAGTCTGATTGGCACTTGCGAATGATAAAGACAGGAAAACCCCAAAAAGGAACCTGCGCAGGGTGTGTAAAGGTCTAGTGTCATAAAAGTTCAGATCCTGCCCCTTCCTTATATACTGTGTTCTGTGTGACCCCAAAAGTCAAAGACATTAAATGGGTTGCCTAAGACGCAGACGGGGAGTCACAATCCTCACTTAGATCCCCCTTCCTGCGCTTTTTCTACTGTGCTGCCTCTAGCGTTTGATGAAGAAACTTAAACAAGGGGTGAGAAGGCGAAGGCTGGCGGGGGTCGTCGTTAGCTGAGTCAAGAGCCTGTGCCTGGACTCAGAGCAGCGGTTCGTCCTGGGCCCTGACCGCCTCACTGAGGGAAGCCTCGGGAACGAAGCAGCTCGCCCTCCTCTCGCCCTCCACACCTGCTAGGGCTGATCCAAGCGGTCCGCGGACCCCAACATTTTGTGGGCCGGCTCTTTAAAACGTTTCCTCGGTAGTCTTAGAGGTTTCTTTCTGCCCTTTCTCCCTTGTTATGCCCGTGTCTTTACCCTGGAGGTACTTGGGCGCAAGTCCTATTTGGCATCCCAGGTAGCTACGAGAGAGCGCTGGGTTGATTTCGGCGCATGTCCAGAGACCCATTCCCGCTGTCTCCCGTTTTAGGCACGCCGGGGAGACCTTCAGGGAGCTCCGGGACGGGAAGGGGTGCACAGCCGCCGGGGTGAGGGGGGCTGCGAGCTGTGGGCCCTGCCGCAGCGCGGAGTGGGTCGGCTAGCTCGCGGGCACAGTCGCCGCGGGAGTCGTCGGGGCCGCGGGTGGGCAGGGACGGCAGCGGCGCGAGCGCGGGGAGGCGCGGAGGGTGGTGCTGGCCGCGTGAAAGGCGTCTTTGTACGAGACCCGAGACCCGGCGTAGGGCAAGAAGAGAGGGAGCGCTGAGCTGGAACCCTGTGGCCGGACTCCGGGGCAGCCCAGCAGGGCGCTGGAGCAGCCCAGGAGGGCGCTGGACAGCTTGTTGGGCGGGTGCGCGCCGGGGGTCTCTTGGGCTCTCAGCGAGGCTGGAGTGGGGTGAAAGCAGTTCCAAGGAAGTTGGGGGTGGGGAGAAGGATTCCAAGACTTGCCTCCCCACGCTCTCCCCTAGGTGGCAGAGATCGCGACGGGGAAAGGACGCAGCCCTAGCCCGGAGCCCGCGCCGGGAGTCGGGGGACTGAGGAGCAGCCCAGGCCAGGCCAATTCCCGCCCCCGGCCCTGGAGCCCCCCACCTGGGGGAGAGGGGCGGATCCCGCGCCGCCTTCCTCCTGCGCCCCGGCCGCGTGGCTTGCGGCTTATTTTCCCAGCTGGCAAGCGTCTTGCTGCAGACAAGGGAATGCCTGTGGTGAGTTGTTTATTTTGTTGAAGTTTGCGGTGGGCCGGGGGACTGTGGGGGAATGAGTGGCAGGCAGCGACTGGGACTGTTTGGTTTAGGTCTCCATCCACCTGTGTGGTATAAATCTGCCAGCCTCGGGCGGCGGGGGGTGGGGGAGCCGGGGCGAGAAAGCCCTGGCGCCCCAAGCGCCCCCTCCCCCGCGTGCGCCACTTGGGGACCGAGGACCCGATCTGCGTCCCGGCGCTGGGACCCACCAGATCGTGGCTGTGGTGTGCGCCCACGACCTGGGAACCGCTGGCCGCTGACCTTGCACCCTAGCGCCCTGCCTATTTCCTTTAGCATATGGAACTGAGGCTCGCGTGGGAAGGGCGCCCATGCAGAGTGGGATGTCGTCCTGGAGGCTTCGGACGAGAAGTTCGTTCAGGGGTGTAGAGTTGCCTATTGCGACACTCTGGGATCCCTGGTCACCCGGAGTTTCCCAGACTTCAGGCTGAAACGTGGTGGGAAGTTGGCTCCCTGGGGAGCCCGGAGGAACCCCCAGGGTATGCTGTTAGTCTCCCGGCTGCGTTTGCCTGGAAGAAAAGCCTAAATACATTAGAGAGCTGGTAAAGCTTTTAAGGCCTTCTTGGGAATGAGTGGCTGGCTAATGAAAGGTTAATTTTGTTTCGAAGGGAAGGCTGCACTGGTTTCCTGAGATAAATGGACAGGAAGCGCATTACCTCCGCGCTCTGGCAAGCGGCTCCCAAATGCTTTTTGCACCTGCCGCTCCGAGCCGTGGGAGCCGCGGCGCAGCCCACAGGGAGCGCGGGGGCCGGGCGGGTGCGCGCGGAGATGCCCCTCCTGCGCCCCGGGCTCTCCGCCTCCGGGGGCTCAGCTCTCACGCCAAGCCCTACGGCTCCTCTCTCACACCCAGGTCCCGCGCGTTCCGGAGCTCGGGGGGCCCTTGATCCCGACGAAGCCCCTGCAGGAGCGGAAGGGTTAAGAATGATGTAAGTACAAACCACTCTCTGCTGGCTGCTGGGATGTCAGACTCTGGCTATTTCTGCTCCTACTTTGCTCACCTGAATGGGAAGCAGCAGGCCGGGTGAGCCTTGACTAGATCGTGGGCTGTAATCGCAAGCCTGGTTCTGATTCCTGCCTTACAGTGCCCTAGGTGATCTGGTAAGCGGGCAGTGAGATCCTCGTGTTAAATTTCTAAAAACGGAGACATAGTAACTGGGGAACAGTTAAGAAAAGCGAGTACGGGTTCAGGAAATGAAACCGCATCATGTTGAGTCCATTAACGTTTCTGGCATGTGTTTTAATCCTATCCACGGTGGTGTGCTTCACTGGGTCCCTTAAATATACTGTTCTGACTTCGTCTTTTCTTCCTGAAAACAAAGAGTGGGGAAGAAAGACTACAAGTGCCAAAAAGCAGGGTGGACTGTGAGTTAAACAAGTTGTATTACATCATGAGTTTTTCCTGATTAAAATGTAAAAGCTTTACATGGTATCAATTTTATGTTTGTATCCCAGCCCCCCAACAGATTTTTATTTGTAGCGACCAAAATCCTCTTTAACTGGCAGCGCGCAAGCTTAAGGAGAGGCTGCACGATAAACGACCCTTTGGCTTGCTCTCGATTTCGGATCCCAGGCCTTGCCAACAGTCCAAATTTACCCGCAAGTGTGTCAACTGGCTTAATGTCATGAAAACAGGAACCACCTTGCGGTTTAATTGTGAAAATTAGCATTTTCCTCTAGCGGCTGAACACTTAAGCAGCAATTAAAAAGTGAATTGTTAGGCTTATAAATCTTGAGCTTGTCAAATTTTACAACAGCAGAGCAATAAAGCACCTAGAGGAGATGAAGTTTTTCCTCTGAAGAACAGCTCTGTCTTGACACCAGGCTTTGCAACAACTCGAGGACGCCCTCTACTGATGAAAAAAAAAAATCTAGAGCACCTCTGAACAGGTTGGGGCAGCGGAGGGGGAAAAACATAAGTTACCAGCAGAAAGACCTAAATCAAGTTGAATTTATTGATCCTTAATTTGGAGTTATAAATTTTGAAGTATGATAAATGAAGTGTGGTGCTTTCACATAGGGATCGAAATCAAGTTAAGCCTCGATATTTTGCTGTTAGTCTTTGTCACCAAAATATTTTTAAAAGCCCAGCGTCAGATATTACTTTTGAAAAAGATCCTAGTATTATATGAACTTTACAAACTACATGTAGGGGTTACAAGAGTATAGTTTTGCTTCAGTGTTTAGGCCAGCACCTCATTATCTAAAAATATCAGATATCTTCCACCCACCCCCACCCTTACCGTCAAAAGTCATTTCTCCAGGCAACTCTGAAGCTGTTATTAAGCATATTAAAGATAGACACAAGGCTCGGATTATATCAAGGATAGTGAAAGGTGTGTTTACCACGTGAGTCATCATGGTGGGAAGTAATGAAAAGTTACAGTAAAAACAGATCTGTGTCCTTCATTAGGGACCCAGAGGTCTGAGTAATTTACAATGTATGTAATGAGTAAGCTGGTGAGACCTAAGGCTTGCTCCCAATTATCGGGTCCATTGATTAGCACATTGTAACGTGGAACAGTCACGTGTCTGTGGTTGATGCGAAATTCCTAACTGAAGTTTCTGACTAATACAGCGGACAGAGAGGCAGGGTGCAATTTGGATCGAGTAAGTGGACTTGAAACGGCAGCGGCGCGAGTCACTGCAGAGAGCTAAAAGTAGGAACTGGCTCCGGCCTTGAGGCCATTCCGGAGAGGAGATGCCATTTCACGTCCACGACGGGCAGTCCTCTCCTTTGCAGACGCTGGTTTTCCCTGTTTTGGACCCCTCCAATCTCAAAAGGAGAGAACGATCCATCACTGACTTAACCTAATAGACTGTGGAAACGCCACTGAACAACAAATCGTGGCATAATTACCCTGCGTAAAAACTTCCCACTCTCATTACTCTAATTACACTGTGACCGAACACTGAAGTTCGCCCACTCTCAGACCCCTCCTCAAGGCAGGGAAATGTCAAAGAAAGCTGAACCCGAGCCTCCCACCGCGGCAGGGCTGCAGGCGCCCACAGCCCCTCTGCGCTGCCCGGACCCCAACGCCGGGGGCCGCGTCCCTGACCCGGCTGCAGCTCCAGCGGAGCGCGGCTCGGCGACCGCTAGCAAAACTTGAAGGAAGCTGAGTCGGATCCCTTCTTGAGATGTTAAAGGGCCGTCCTCTCACGGCGGCGGGCGAGTGAGAGCTGCTGTCGCCGATTTCTATTGGGTGCGAGGAAACAGTAAATCGCGGAAGGGGGTGGAAGAGAAAGCAAAGGGAGAGGGGGAGGGAGGCCGGGCCAGGCACTGCAAAAGCACTGGCGGCCAGAGGACGCGGAACTCGAATTACTGCTCGCAGGCGGGAGGCTGGGAGGCGCGGAGACTGACGCTTTGAGTCTCTGGAGGGGCGGGACGGTCCCGCATAGCGCACTTGTAGCCAATGGGGAGCGCTGAGGGGGCGTGGCCGTGGGCAGCGGCGTCGAGGATTGGCTGGCGCGCGACGGGGCGGGGCGGCAGTGCGGGGCTGAGATTGATTGAGCGAGAGGCAGCCTCGCAGACATCCGGGCCGCCGGCTGCTGGTAGCTCGGCCTGCGCCGCTGCTGAGGGTCCAGCCCGCCGAGCCCACGCGGGCCGGGGCCGGCCGGCCGCGCGCTCAGGGCTCCTCTCGGCACTCGCTCACGGTCTTTGTGTCTTCTCTCTCGCCCTCTCCCCGCCCGCCGCAATGCCTCTGCGCCCCGTGGCCGCTGCCGCCGCCGCCTCGCTCCGCCCGCGGCGCGCCGCTCGCTACGGCGGTGGCGGCCGCCTGTCTCCTGCGCTTGCCTGAAGGAGGAAGAAGCGGAAGCGAGGCGCGCCCGCGAGACCTGCATGGACGGGCATGGGCTTGAGAGCAGCACCTTCCTGCGCCGCCGCCGCCGCCGCCTCTGGGGCTGAGCCTCGCCGCCGCCCCCGGCCC